TTGTATTTGAACCTATTTCTGCTAAACACATCCAATCAAGTTGGAATTTCTCTTCTTTATTAATTTTTATACCCAGATCATTATCATCATCATCATTATTTGCATTCTATACTTCATCTATAAAAAGACCAAGCAGATCTATTAGATCAGCATTAATATGATGGCTATATAAGTTTGACTACTGTATAGCACCGTCTTTAATTAATTGCTAAAGATCTTGATGCTTAACATGAAGAATAACTTTGACTCGACAAAATTCTTCCTATTGAGGACCGTGGTATAAGGATAACGGGTATGGCTATATATATATAATATTTTCTTTTGTATATTTATTTCAATGACCTTTCACATATTTATGTGTTAAATAGTAATGAAACAATAAAAAGTCTTTGAACTCTAATGATCTCTCCCAGTATGCTATCAAAGGTAATGGTGATGTTATCTCTGCATTTCTAATATTTTCACTCTCTCTCTACTATCAGTACCATGAATCCATCATGGTATTTCTTTGTTTAAATTTAAGGAAATAAATGTTTAGCTTGAGTGATAAAAGGAATACTAAGAAGAAGATAACAAGTTTTTTGCGCTGAAATATCACATTCTGCTACACTATGTATCAACAATCTTTGAGTCATAGGAATAACTAAATCATCAGATCTACTTTTAAATATGATCTGATTTAATATTTCAGAAAAAGCAGCAGAATGTGGTTCAGCCTTGCTTGTATACTTAGCAATATATTACAAGGCTGCATAGATACTTAAAATTTGTTTAATATCTACATTTGCTCTCCAGCTCTGTAATTGAAGTCGACTATGTAGATTAATATGTGAATCGTTTCTTGCTATTACAAGTTCTAGTCCTCCATGACTATCTTCTTGCAAAAATGTGTGATTACTATTCTCTTTAGAATAACCAAATCTACAGAATTGTTGATCAGTTTTATTGATGTGAAGACAAAATCTAGAGCTACATCGGGCGTGTCTTTGTAACTTATTGATCAAATTGACGTAATCTTGCAAATCATCATGTATCTTGTTATAACACTTTTGGCAAGGATGGCAATCAGGTATTGGTGCGTTGAATCCCAGATTGATAGTAGTTACTAATGAGTTAAGGTATTGTGTTACTTCATTCATTATATGTTCATTACTTTTCATTTTTTCCCACTCAATTACAGATGCATTTTATTTCTTTCCTATACCATATATATGGACACTACCACAATGTTGCTACTCAAACCTATACTACCAGTCTTCTAAATCCTATCTCTTTTTTAATACATCATTAAAGAAAATTTCAAGCCTCTTGTTGAAAAACCAGACAGCAATATGAGGATTATCGATGATATTTTGGCAATGGTGATTTGTGGATTCTTCTACAGAATCTTCTATAGATTGTATTAGATCATATAATTCAGGCCAGTGCAAATTAGCAGCACTGAATGTAAAAAATATTAATCCTTGTGAACCTAATTGCTTTATCATGTCAGATAGTTCACAATGCGGTGCCGTCCAGTACTGTTGAGTTTCACACAGACCTTCTCCAAATTGCATGATTCGATCTGCTATATGTGTGTCACCTTCAGCAATCATGTTTCTGATATCAGTGACAGTAAGCTGATTATCGCTTAATTTCTGCCTAATATAAACCCTTCTTTCTTGTAATGCTTTCCATCTCATCTGGGAATTTAATACAAAATAGCGCCAATGAGTGTGACGTGCAAATCTACCATCTTTATATTGAAGTAGGTGCTTAAAATATTTAGCTGGTTTGATCTCTCTAGCCTATTCTAACTCAGTTTCTACAAATTTATCTTTAAACATGTCAAACAAACTATCTCAAAATGATAATGGTTAGAAACAAAATAGAACACTAAAAAACGAAAATTGTAGGTCGTCAAAAGAAAAATTTGGGATTATTATATAACAAATAATGTTTCCATTATTGTATTAGATGGATGCTCATTTTTGCAAATATTTGTCCTGATGTTCCTAAAGACATTGACAGAGTTACTTTCAAATAAAATTATATTAAAAATGCAAAATTATAATTAATTTTGATTTTTTGCTTTTATAATATCAAATTAATTTAATTAAGTTTGCAACGTTAGTAGATAACAAACAAGAACGTGAGTAACTACGATAGTACATATTTTAATGGTATATATAGCAGAATTACTTTATTGTTTTTTTTTTAAAGCATACGTAACATAGGGAAATCTTAATATAAGGTCTGAGACCGTCTTACTTATCTTAAATACTAAAGTGAAGTAATATTAACAAACAGCAGGTTAAACCATAACAATTGAAAAGTCTTAATGATAAAAAAAAGAAATTTAAGTTATACATTTCATAAATATATATGCATAGAGGCAAATCTTAAATATAATATTCGAGATTATTATTCAGTGAACTCATAAAAATCATCTTGTGGAATGACATTGCAAAATTCATAAAAAGAGTTCACGTCTAAGGTACTATAAATATCTGTCCCTGGATCGACGAATTCGGCAACAGGTGAAACTCCGCTATCCTCATAGATTCGACTATGTTGGTGATCGACATCATGATTGATGGCCTCGTAAGCTGCGTCAATGATAGAGTTTGTAATAAGTAGAGATGTGTCTTCAGTAGTTGGAGATGCTATAGGTGTTTTATCAGGAGTTGGACCAGAGGTTGAGTCAGAAGCTGAATCGGAAGCATTTGGAATGAATTCATAAAAAATATATTGTTGAGATGAGTAATCCGGAGTAGTCAACTTAAAGTTAGCGAGTGGTTGTTTTTTTTGTTTTTTTTTTCTTTTTTGTTTTCGCGATGAAAGTTCAGAGATTTTCGAATTTTTCCAAACTACTCTACGGAATGATACATTCTTTTGACGCTTATTGTTTAACTCGATCTCAACTTCCCGGGAAAGTTTTCTATATTCTATACAATAGTTAGTTAGACTTTAGCATATTACTTTTATGTAAACAAAAACTGTAAATCAGATCTTTCAAATACCATCTTTAACAATCTCTGGTTCATTTCTCCAACAAATTCCAACTAACTTAGAGACATCAGTCATCTTAAGATCTTGATAGGTTCTCGAAAGATGATCCAAAAATGCCTTTCGATAAATAAAGAAAGCGTTTGGGCTTTTCATAGTTAATTGTGTGGAGTTTCTTCTATCGACAATATCTGCGGCCTTAATGGTGGGTGGAAATGGTAGATTAATAGGTGGAGTGAACGTAGAAAAATTTGGTGTTGGGTATCTTCTCGAGGAAGTTACATGTGTTGTAAATTGGCGAGACATATTACGAAATGATTATAAAATGATTACGCATAAAGTATGTCTAATGTATGCATAGATAGAAGAAAAACCAAAAGGATAGGATATTATCATCAATGGAATCTAGTAAGTGATAAAAGGGTTTTTATGGATTATTGAGCATCCCACAGTAGCTTCTAGAATTGACAAATAGGTTTGCTTTGTAAGCGAATCAGGTACAGTACATTTAAGGTTTGGGGAAACCAATTTATTGTTGGCGACATTAAGTAATTCAGAATACTAGTAATGAAAAACTTATGTTTGGTAGTTTGGTGGTTGAATTTACTGGGAAAGTATCGCCAAAGTTGTGAAATAGAAACAGAGATGGTACGTACGTATTTAATTTCAAATTTTAGATAAAATCTTTGTTTGCTGTTTTAGGAAGACCTTTCATTTCGACTAAATCACACCACTAGAGACATTCAACATAACCTTCAATTTTGGTTTCAGCAAATTGCCAAAAACAGAATACCCGACACCGAATATCTATAAACGTAAATAAAATACGCCGATCATTCATACACAATGTGGCGTGATTTTAATTCATACCTTCTTAATTTAGCATTTACATATATATTCATTCAAAGTATGTAGTGCGTAGTAAATTTTTGATAATAATGATAATGCTCTGGGTATAAAAATTAATAAAGAAGAGAAATTCCAACTTGATTGGATGTGTTTAGCAGAAATAGGTTCAAATACAA